CACAACACAAAAAAAAAAACAAAAAAAAGAAAAACCACACATACCATTAAATCATTATCTTTCTCTACTAGAAATCATCAATAATACTCAAAAGGACCTATACTCGAACACACCACCAGCATTCATCCTCTGCCTCTTCGCCCCACCGGCCGATGACCCGTTTTCATAATCCCCACCTGACCTCTCCATAACCGACCTAAGCGCTTCTTGTATGGACTTCATACAGCGCGGCCGGTTCACCCGCTCCCGATCCTCATCCTCTTCCTCCTCTTCCTCGCCAGTAATCAACAATACGTTCTTCACTCGTCCTCCGAGTGTCGTGATTTCGGCTCTTAGGGTTTTGAGGTTGAGGGCTTTGAGGGCATTGATAAGGCCAGGCAGAAGGTCTGGTCGATCCTCGCAACATATGGAGGCTCGAACGAGCCACTGCCCATCACTACCCGAGGCATCGTCCACAGTCAGCTCGTCAACCTCGGTGGGGACAGGGCTCGACTCGGCTATGAGGGACGTTTGCCGTTTGAGCTCCTTCACGTGCTCGATCACCTCGGCTAGCAACGAAGCCTTGTCTGTCTACAACATTTCACTAAGATTCATAAATATTTTTTCGATCATATCAGTTCAAGTTTAATCATTAATATTTTATCTTATATTCATTCACAATTATAGATATATATCTCATTAATTCTAAATTTAGATAAAAATTCTTGTATTAGTCACACCCTTGATTGACTTTGAAACAAACAAGAGATTTAATTTAATTAATACAATGTACTATTGTTTATAGATTATTACAAACAAAAAATCTTAATTGATACTACCTCCTATATTTTTAAATGTCATTTTGATTTTATTAAAAATTAACCAAATAAATGATTTTTTGAATCTTTTGTATATATTTTTTTCATTATTAACCTCATCTAGCTAATAACTACACTACATCTTTTCATATTCACTATTCATCTTTTCTCAAAATATTTATCTCTATCCTCATTAATAAAGGTTATTATTGACAATTTTTTTTTTAATTACTCTGCAACTTCTCAAAATACTTCTCAAAATACTGGTTGAAAAAATGAGAGAGTATTAGTTTGTAGCATCTTTTTTATAGCTCTAGGGAGACTAGGCGTGGCCAGTTTGTGTAAATATAAACATTAGTGTCCGAAATTGAGGCCAATGACTGACAGTAATGCTTTTTTGTCTNTTTGGGCAAGAATTTTCCATGGACGTGCCTTTTCGACTGATCGATTGTTTCACTTTATCTTATCAGACGGCCGATATTAGCGCCATTAAGATTCCCTTTTTATTAGCTCCATTTTTTTTTTTTCAATCCTCGAAATCAATAATGGAATCACGTTCACGAACAGAAATAGCTAGGCTGCTTATTTTTATTTTTAAATTACCGACACAAATATAGATTTTGTTAATTTCACTGAAATGTAGATTTTGACCCTCATTTACACAAACATATCGAGGATTTGACATGTTTTAAACAAGCATTTCTTGAGGCATTCATTAATGCAATTATAGCTTAAATAATTTACGAAAAACAAAATTTGAGGGTCGCGTAAACGCGAATATCTAAAAACAAAATATAACGAATAACTTCAAATGATAATAATCTATATATAGTGGCGACTGGCGAATATCTAATTTTTTCTTTAAAAAGACAACTTAAATATCATGCTCTTTTTTATAGTGTATTTAGCAATGATCATATTTAAAAACAGGCTTAAATATCATGCTCTTCTTTAGTGTAATATAGATATTATTTCAATTTGAGAAGAAAAAAACATGAAAATATATTTGCTTATTTAAATAACTGTACCTTATATTTTTCACTTACAATTCGTAAGTTCTATTACCTTAGATCTTGTAATTTATCCCACATTTAAAATTTATAAAGTACATGCTTACACGAACTAAAATTTTACAATTACTACATTCTTAAGTTCTATTACCTCAGCTCTTGTAATTTATTCTCACATTTAAATTATAAAGTGCATGCTCACACGAACTTAAATCTTACAATTACTAAATGAGTTTCCACCGACTAATTAACACTGATACAATTTATGCCGCTGACAAACACTACAAGAAAATGATGAAATTCCAACGGAAATATATTCCAATAGAATTCCAACGGTAATTCCAATAGATATTTCAATGTTATTATTTTCGTTGGAATTATTCCAACGGAAATTTCTACAAAAATATTCCGTTGGAATGAGTTTTCCATTGGAATTTCCGTTGGATTTTGAGGATTCCAACGGTAGATTTTCCAACGGTGGTGGAAATAAAAATTCTAACGGAAATTCCTACGGTCAAAGCCGTTGGAAATATAGCCGTTGGAATATTCAAATTCCATAAAAAATTCCAATGAAAAATACATTCCAACGGAATATTTTCGTTGGAATTTCCGTTGGAATCATTCTAACGGAAGCTCTACCATTGGAATATCCTTTGAAATTTTCATTGGAATATATTACCATATGATTTTCTGTTGGAATATAACATTTTTTTTAGTGAAACCCACAACATTATTTAACAAAAAATAAAAATAAAAATTAGTTGCACAATACTCAATGAAATTATACTTATGATACATAAACTTTGATTTTTTTTTTTTTAATAATACTCCAATATATATTTTAACCAAACCGTCTATATCCTTTGCACATTTGGTTACCCTTTTATCTTTCAAAGGGCAAAACATAAAAGCAACGATAAACGACTATATAGGTAATAATTATATCACAACCCTAAATATACAATAATTTGTATATACAAACCAAATTGGTAATCACTGATTACTAATTCAATGAACATTCTATTTTTTTTAATTAAAAAAGCAAAATTTCAACATTAATAAACAATAGCTTAGTTTGGTTGTGCAAGGTAATGATTAATTCACAACCCTAAATATACGTTAATTTGATTATATAAAATTAACCAAAATGGTCATTACTAATTCAAATATAATCTTATTTAAATAAAAAAACATAAACAATAAAAAATGACTTACTTTAGTTGTGCTAGGAAGCAAGCTTCTAAGCCTGGCCAAATGGTTATTTATCCTCTCTCTTCGCCTCCTCTCGGCTTCACTGTGGCTTCTAGAAGCTGCCAGGGCCTTTGCATCCATAATCTCTTGGGCCGTCTGAAGCCCAAATGGGCCCGACCCGCTTGGTTGCACCACCTGGCCCAGAGACTCGGAAATCAGCTGGCTCAGCTGATTGTCCGGCGCTGCTGGCCCGAGTAGGCCTCCGTAGGGCATGGAAAACGGGCCGGGCTCGTGGGTTGGTAAATGGGCCGGGCTGAAGCTGTGGGCTTGATATGGTAGGGCCCATGGCTCCGGCAGGGTTAGGGTGGACCCTCCAAAGTCGTAGTATCCGAAATACGAATCTGCGGCCATGTTCGGGTGCTGCATCTGTTGAATTTATAATTTTTTTTTTTTTTTTNAATTTATTATTGCTCGATAATAATTTCGGAAAAACCCTAGATCTTGCAGAATTTTGTTGAACCCCAAAAGAAATGCATTTTTATTTCTTGATTAATATTGTTTTCTAGCGAAATTTCAATTTCCACGCTTAATTGTTTATTCATATGTAATGAAAGGCCCCTAATAATTGACAATATATTTATTTAGTTGCAATCTGTTGTAACAGTTTTTTTATTTTGTTTTCAATTCAAACATAGCATAGCGTAACGACATCATTGAATTGACATATTTCAAAGTATTAGGATGCAAATTAATCGAATACATCTTGAAGCATAATAATAACACAACAATATCAGAAAATTAACCATATAGTTAAATTGTTATATTACAAAAAAGGGAAAAACAAAAGGGTGTGAAGTAAAACTAACTTTAGGGTTTGTTCCATAATAGTATAATTTGTTATCTTGTGTGACACAAAAATGAAAAGATCTTATTTATATGGGACAAAAAGGAATTTAGTTTTTTTCATGATAAAAAAAAAGATATATTTTTTTTTTTGAAACAAGAGTAATAGACAAACCTTTGCTTTTGATACACAATTGAGCTGAGATTAATTTTCCCTCTCTAAAATCCCCTTCTTATTCTTTCCAAGTTCTTCTTCTTTTTTCTTGTTCTTGGCAAAGCCTTCAAGGGTTTTGAATAATGGTGAAGACTGAAGAGTGAAGAAGATATAAGGACCCTTTTTATCCTATCTACCAAACAGCCCTTCACCTTTTCCCATCGTGTTTATCTTTTTGAGTTTTTTGTTTTTTTATTCTTTTTTCTTTCATCTTTTGTACATGTCCCATATTTGGTCCCTCCACTCCACGATATATAGAGAAAGTAGTGTTGGACTTTGTTACCTTTCTTCTCACGGTATGCACACTTTCCCTTCTCTTCTCTCTCTATATGATTTCAATTTATGTGGTTGATTAATTAATTCATAGCTATTATATATGTGTGTGTATATATATCACTCAATACCATATAATCAATACATATAAATACAAAGTTTTTTTTTTTTTTTA